CTGATGTGTTTCCTCCTTGGCATTGTTTTAACACACACTTGAATGCTCCAGACAAGCCAACTGCTCAAACCTCAGGTTCTATAGAGATGGTAATTGTTGTTAATGATCAATTTACTCAAGGGCATTTGGTTAGTAACTCCTGGTTGCTACTTAGCCTCTTAATTCCTAAGGAAAAATAAGGGTGTACCTAGTTTTTCATATATGGCTTTTCCCTTCTGGCTTTATTTTTGTTAAATAAATCATGGCATGGTGTAATATGTGTAATGTATTGTGGCTCATCTGAGGTTCTATTTACTGAATTTTCAGACCTGATGAGGACCAGATGATTTTTATTATGTCCTGATATGTAAAACCACAGAATTAAAAGGTGTACTTTCTTTTTCACATGACTGTAACTACTGTCCAATTTCAATTCTTTGTTTTAAAGAAAGGTCTTCTAGTATGTGGTGTCTGGACAGTTTCAGACTATGTTGGATGATGAAGCTGATTATTTGGGCCCATTCTGAGTAAGGGTCAGGGCTGATTTGGTGTCCTGGTGGATGGCACCTTTGAACTTTGCATGGGGACTGTGTTTCTGTAGGTTCTGTTGGACCATTTAGTGGCACTCAGCTCTAGCCGCCAGGTACCTTCTGAACTCTTTGGCACAAATGGGACTTAGGAACACCATTTTGTACTGGTTACAATGCTCTTCTGCTGAATATTCCCAAAAGGTGACACTGGGGAATTGTTTTTTTCTTCTTTTTCTTTTTCATGGCTGTCAGATTATGTCAGGAGTGGGCAATTGTGCAGGGTCTGATGGTCACTTACTACCACCTGGTGACTCTTCTGAATAGTTCTGATGAAATCACAAATGACTTAGGCCACTTTTGTTTTAAAAAAATCAACCAAATCAAGAATCTCCACCCCATTTTTCAGCCCTTTTTCCCAGGCTTCTGAGATGCAATTATCCATCCATCCATCCATTAATTCATTGGGATGGAAATGATGCAGTAATGGTTTGATGTGTATGGGTGAAGTGCAGCTAGCATATTGTATGATTCTCACCTTGGCTTCTAATGTATCACAGGGTACAGCACTGTTTCTTATTGTGTTTAGCATCTACATGAAGCTGCTAAAAGTCATGCAGAGTTTGGCCATACCTGTTCTCTTTTTCAACTGATATGAAGGAGGCAGTGGAAGTCCTGAGTATTTGATTGCAATGAAGGAATAGATGTGCTTGAATGGATTCAGGAGCAAGAGACGCTTTGATCACTAGATGAAAAACAAACAATGGTAATAAACTTAGGCTCATCCAGGTAGCTATTGTGGCAAGTGTCTTTGCCTAGTTTCCTCTGATGTGTTATTTCCACCCCTTCCAGTTCTCTATATCTTTTTAGTAAAGTTTACATAGAATTGTCCTTGAAATGTTTAGAAGCATCTGCTAGTGCAAAATGAGATTATTAACTTTTTTTATTAAGGACTGAAGTGCTTCAACAGATGCCATGTTGCATACCTCACAACCTTGACAAGCTAAGTTGGTGAGAACAGAAACGCCTCTCATGTGTACACAACAAATTAACTCAATTGTGGAAGACTGACTAAGAAAAGTCAGACTGTTTCAAGTTTTTATTTTTTTTAAGATAGGCTTTTAATACCAATTAATAAAAATGAGTTTTCTACTGTATGCCGTTTAAACAGCTTTTGTCACCAGTAAAGCAATTACTTTCAATAAGCAATGTGCTGTATATAGCACTGCCTGTGTAGGTGGTCACCTTAATTATTCAGATAGTCAAATGGCAGATGATGACACACCAATAGGTCATCACCTAATGTGAGAGTCTGTGTATTAGTAACTGCTTGTTACATCTCTTGAAAAATGAATCAATACACATGAAACGAAGTTCACAATGCTGATAGAAGGAATAAGTCAGTGGTGCAGATCAAAGCCACCCTTAAAAAGAATTAAGACATCGGTGATGGTCAACATTGTGCAAATGGCTGTTTGATCTCTTCTTCTGAAAGATACTTCTGGACCTCATCATGACTCCTAGGTCCTCTGGAGAAACACATAACCTTGTTTATCTGATGAGCCACTTATTCAGATAAAATCAGAGGTGCTCCTGCTCATTCGAAAGGCAGATCAAGGAATAGGGATTCAGCCTGTGCTGGATCGGCTTACACTCCCTCTGAAAATATACCGGTATACAGCTTGGATTCATCCTTAGTTCCCCAGTTTTAGGCAGTTGCCAGGAGTGCTTTTGCAGTTAAAACTAGTGCATTAGCTGTGCCCATTCTAGAAAGGTCTAATCTGGCTATGGTGGCACATCTTAGTTACATCCAAAATGCGGCAGCAAAATTGTTAATTGGGGCTGGTTACAGGTAACTGTCCTGTTACAGCAGCTCAACTGGCAGCTAGCCTATTTCTGAGCACAATTCAAAGTGCTTGGTTTAACCTATAAATGGTTTGTGTCCCAGCTATCCTGAAGACCTTGTCTTCCTTTATGAATCTGCCTAGGTTTTAAGATCTTCAAGGGAGGCCTTTCTCTCAGTCCAACCACCTTCATGGGTGCCTTTGGTGGGGACATAGGACTTTCTCTGTTGTTGCTCCTAGACTCTGGAACTCTCTCCCATAGAGGCTAGGCTGGACCCATCTTTGCTGCCTTTCCACAAGTATAGACCTTTTTCTTCACTTAGTGACTGACTGCCTGAGTGGGGTTTTCTAAATGGACTGCTATGACTTTGTTGTTGCTTTTATCATTTTAAAGTGCGGTATTGTTTAAAACAACTTGTTTTAATATTGTGTCACCCTCTAAAAGGCAAGTAGTACTTCTAACTAGTCCAGCAATGGCAAGAGGATACAATTATTGAGTTGAAACCACTTCCCCAATGGCTAACCAATGGAGCAGGAGCAATTTTGATACTTGAACTCTTCGTGAGGGAGAAAACCCATATGCCTTTGCAGTATCAGAGCCCTGAATGGATTTAGATCCATTAGGTTTGGTTGTTGCTAAGACCATGAACCACTTGTTACCTACTACCACTGGTACCTAGAAAGCCATCTTGCCCACTGCAGCCTCCTCTTACTGCCAAGGCTTCATCTTCTCCTATAGCTAAGGTTGCCAAGAAGATGCAAGGCTCATCTAATGTGCTTCATCTTAAATGCCCTTTGTGAGGCAATGAATCTAGGAGTGGCTGGAGCATCAAATGCATTGTCTAATCCTTGTTAGGCACAGAAAAATGCTGCTCAGAAATACAATATACATGAGCAAAAATAAAATAAAATTAAATTTTAAAAAAGCCAGCTGTGGTGCACTATGGACCCTAATCTCATTGCTGCATTCAGGGGTGACCTGAATAGGTGGAAACCACCTACTACTTTGGATTCTTGATGGCAGGGTGCAGTGGGCAAGGTACAGATGAACATTTCCTGGCTTCAATATACTTATTTAATTTACATACCATGCATCTGGCTACTAAAGCCACTCAGTTCACAAAATTTTTTAAAAAATCAAGAACATTAAATAACAACATAAACATTAAAACATAAAAAGAAAATAATGTATACCAGTAAACAAAAAGAAAAAAAAAGTCCTACATCTCCTTCAATATTATATTTAACATAAAATGACATTCTATTATATTATTTTTATTGTTCAGTACTGCTATGCAGTCCTACTTACTGCACATAAAAACTTAGAAATGGTAAAAAATTATTTGGAGACAAGAAATTCAATTTAATTTTACAAATTTTAGCAACTTATGATGGCGGAGGTGGGGCCTTAGTGGACAATTCTGTACTTAGCAGCAGATATGGAAGTTGCCTTAATATTTTAAAATATTTTAAAAATTCAATTTTTTTAAAAATAGGGAGGTCAAGTTATAACCACAAGGTAAAACCTGAATGGGAAACCATTGTGGTTCATTCATGCTGAATGTGATCTGCACAATTTGTGATCTCCAAGAAGTGCCATAATGTGCAAGAGAATGTAAAGTTGTCATCAAGTTTAGATTGAGGAGCTTAGGCTGCAATCATTCTCATCTAGAGCTGGCCATACTCAAAACTAGAATTCCAGTTCACAACTCCTTCCAGCTACTCAAGTGAATGCAAGGGAAAGAGAACAGCAATGCCACTTCTCCTAGTCTTTATATTGCTTATTGTTGCCTTGTTGCCATGTTAGTGTCTTGGTCCATAACCTCCAACCCATGTTTAATGGAACACATGCAAAGGGCTGAAATGTCAAGAGCAGAGATAATTCTACACTTTTATTTTGTATAAATTTTTAAAATGTTATGTAATGTAATATTTTAAAAGAAACATGTTTATCTTTTTTTAAAATATCATTTATAGGAGAGGCTAACAGGAAACAACCAAAAATGGCATTGTCATTAATACAGTTCTATACCTCACCCACAACCAGCCATCATTTTTAATTGTTTGAGGAAAGGAGGTCACCTATTACTGCTAAAAAATGCTACCAACTTAGAATTTATGGGGATGTGGGGCTGCTATGCCACTGGACAAAAGCATACCCTATAAGATTGGTGCAAAACAGAAATCACTTTAGTTATAAAGTGAGGAACACGAAATGAGTGGGCTGGGGATGTTGACTAGAAACCAAGGTTTGTGCCATACTGCTGAGCAGCCTAGCCCAGCTGGGGCAGCTACTTTGTAACAAACCTGTTACTCAACCTTGTGAGGTGACTGGTATTTCTCTAAACCTAGGGAAAACAACCTGATACTCTTCAGCCATTGTTGGGCAGCAAACCCCACCAGCCCAGACTATTTATTTGCCATGAAGACTAGATTTGCAGACCAAAACACAGGAAGAGCACTAGGCAGTTAATAGTGTGGGAGATTAGTGGGGAAGCTCTGCAGTTGCTATGAGCTGTGTAGAAATGTGCTCCTCTAGCTGTCCAAGACCGATTCAGTTGCTGTCGTGACTACAAATAGGACACAACCTAAGGTGTGCTACTGCAGGAACCACCTTACGTTTGGACTGGAACAATACTACAAAAAGAGATACAACATGAATATGCGGTTTAATGTCAAAATGCACAATGCAGCGACACTGTTATTTAAAATTTCTTCAAACAATACAAATCAGAGCAGTCAAAAACTGAAATTACCAAGCCCCTACAAAATATTTACAGCACTCTGCGGAAGAAATGTATCAATGCCAGGGATGAAGCTAAATAAAATTAAAGAAAATATGTATCTATTAAATGCAAAGTATATTGTACAACCCAGGAGTACAAAATCCAATGACATTTTCAGAGGAAAAACATTTACAATCCAGTACCAAAGAAGACATTATTTTTTTGTTCGTTTGCTTCCTCTTGTCCTGCCTTCTGCCTCTTCAGCAGTCCCAGCTGCAGCTCTGGTAGGTTCTTCTTTTGTTTTCTTTCTTTTTCCTTTTTGCAATGTTGTGTTCTCAGAATTTTCTATTTTTTAAACAAAATAAGTATTTCATGAAGCTAAACATTTTAATATCCTTTTTGGAGTAACTGCTAGACAACCAAGCATTCTCATGATCTATATTTCTTCTGCTTAGAAAAAGTGGTTCATTCTGGTCCTGCTGCTCACCTCATCCCAGTTCTATATTTTAACTGGAACTCCCAAATAAATTCTAACAGTAGGAAAAAAAATAAACAAATCATTGTTAAGACAGCTGAGCAGGCTTGAGAAACCTACTGTAGTTTTAAGGTGCTCACTCTCCTCAAAATTTCCATGCATAAAATTTGCTCCAAAGTATCTGACACTACATCTTACTCTATCTAAACCATCCTCCAAAAAGAAAACCTCACATATAAGAACCAAGTGTCATATTCTCCATTTGGATGTGGTTTGGACTATACAGGAATGTTAAAGGTCCTACATCACTTGGTACAGCAACTAGGCTTAACAATCACTACTGGCAGAAATGTATGTTATTTACTCCATAGCCAAAGTTTACAGTGGATGTTTTTTAATCTATACACAAGTGTCTGTAATTTCCCCTTCAACATCTTTGTGCTACACTATTGTACAGTACTTCCACTTTCAGGAACAGCTTTTCAGAAGAGGTTCAAAAGTGCTAGTATCTACATGCACATTCCTTGTACCTCATAACACTTCATCTAATTTGTAATAAATATTAGTGACTAGAATCTTAATGTTTGCATATTCTACATAACTGCCATAGTTAATTGCAGCTAATTAACTAGGCACTGATGTGCATCTTAACTGTGCAAATGGTTGTGTGACCAGGCACATGGGCACATACTTCAGTACCTCATCAATTAGTTGCAGCAAGTTACACAAAACTTTCAGAAACACCAATAGGATTCTGACCATTAACTTTAAATGAAGAACATAAGTAACAACATCAATGAATTAAAGCAATGTGTCAGACTCCTGCTTACATGTGCTCCTTGGGAAGATGTCTTTCCCTCCTACCATATGAAAATTCTCAGATTTGAACCTCCACCATGTGAGTCACAATGAACATCACGCTATCCAATACCACAATAATTTATTAATGAAATTTCTAAAAATGGGAATGTGTTGCAATTAAATTGATGGCACCTAAGCCCTGAAGGTGTTACTGTAATCAAGAAGTCATTAACATCTGGAGTAATTTTACAAAGAGAAGAATCTGAAGCCTTTTTGAAAGACATTGATTAAAACAGGATTAAGCAACTTGGTGCCTTCCAAATGTGTTGGACTATCACTCCCAGAAGTACCAATTACCATGGCCACTGATGATGATGATGGGATTTACTATCTAAAACATCAGGAGGACACTAAGTTGCTGTCTTTGCTTTAGAACAAAGGATAAAGCTTTTGTCATACCTGTTTTAGATTTCAATTTATTTTCCAAAACAACATCCCTGGTTGTATCAGAAGTAGTAGCACTGGTTTCTGAATCACTGTTCACTTGTCTCTTTTTGCCCCGTCTGGGTGGATTCTTTTTTGCTAGCAAGATTGAGAGCACAAAATCACTATTTTTCTCATTTTAAAAAAGTGTTACTTCATGAATACATTTTGGCAAGCTTTTACTTCATGAATACATTTTGGCAAGCTTTTCCCTTTATAAGTCCCCTGCTATTTGAAACAACGTTCTTACCTGCAGTATTGTCCACAATCACAAGCAGATCTTCAGAAATGGTATCATTGCCTGTGATCAATCCATATTTTTCTTTGAGAGAAGCACAAATAGTTGATTCAAGTGTCACAGGTTTCCTTCTATTGCTTCTGCCCTGTTTCTGATTTGTCACAGCTGTCTTTTCTAAATTATTTTTGTGATCAACCTCCTCTTCAGTTTGCTTATACTTCGTTCTGACAGCTGTGGTAGGTACCACTGTTTTATTTCTACTGCCACGTTTTGCCAATCTGGCTTTCCCAACAGCACCATCTCCAATAACTGTGCTTTGGTTTTCACAGGCAGTCCCGCCTTTCTCTGAGCATAGTGGTGGCAGAGTGATGCTTACATTTAGAGAGGAAGATGCCAAATCAATTTGTTCTTTATTCTTTTTTGATTTGTTCTCTCTTCCAGAACCTTTTTGTAAAGGGATACTTTCATCTTTTACAGGCATAGCCTTTTCACTGTCATTTCCGAATTGGCCACTGCATTCTGCTAAGGTTTTATGAAGAACTAATTGTTTTTTCCCACTTCTTTTGGATATATTCTCTTTTGAAACATCTTGAATATCCTTAGGCATTCTTTCTTTGTTGCTTTTATCAACCAGTCTAGGCTTTTTGCTGGCAGAAACTGAGCCTGTCATGATTATATCTGTTTTTCTTCTTCTGCCTCTGTGTGACAGATGCCCATTTGCAGTAGTTTTAGTTTCCGAAGCTTCACTTGACTGTTCTACTGCACTTCTACTTTGGGTCGATGGTTGCAATGCTAAGTTATTCTCAAGGGGAGCAAGAAGTGTTTGAGGGGCTGGGGCAATCTTTCTTCCTTTGCCCCGTTTTGACAGGTTTTCTTTCTTTTCCACATTTTGTTCTTTACCTGTCTGTTTGTCATCATATTCTGTATGGGTTTTTTGAGCAATGGCTTTTCTTCTTCCTCTCCTAGGCAGATGATCTTCTGTAACTTTTCGTCCTTCTGGTGGACTATGCTCTATGAGAACTTGCACATTTTTCATGGGCACCTTTTGGGTTTCATTAGGATTTACGGCATTTTGAGGTTGTTGCAAGGAACATTCTTCTTGAACAGAACTCAAGTCGCGCATTTCCTGTTCTTCTCTTGCAAAAGTATTAAGTTCCAGAGACTTATTTGGAGTTGTTTGGAGTTGACAGCCAATCTTACTCCCTTTGGTACGTTTTGGTAAATTCCCATTTATGATAACCATGTTTTGGTCTACTAAAACACGTTCCTGTTTACTGACATTTTCTGTGGTAGTTTCATGATCAAGTGCTTTTCTTTTGCTTCTCCTCAATGGATTTTCTTTTCCTACTTTCTGCCTTTTTTGTGAACTACGCTGTGCAGTAATTGGAGAACTTCCCAAGGTCATTTTTTGGGTTTCCTTAGGATATGATTCATTCTGAATTTGTTCTGAACATTCATTTTGTGCCAAATTAAAGCTGTCTGTTTTCAAGTTTCCTTCAAGAGTATTCTGTTCCAGAGGTAAAGGAATTTCCAACTGAGGGTTTATTTTTCTTCCTCTTCCTCTTTTGGGTTGATTCTCTTTCGTTTTCATTTCATCTGCCTCTTTACTGTCATATTGTGTGGGCATTTCCTTACAAATGGCTTGCTTGCTTCTGCCTCTCCTGGGTACATTTTCTTTTACAACTTTTTGCCCACTTGGATGACTGTGTTCAGTAGGCGTTTCTAGACTTTCCAACTGCACCTTCTGAGTTACATTAGGACTCTCTCCATTTTGACCTTCCTGCCCACATTTTTCATGGACAAAACTAAAGCTAACTCCTGATATGTCACCTTTTGCAATAATGTTTTCAGAAGAGAAATTTATGTCTTGTTTGTATTCAGCTTCATTAATCTCTAACACCTGCTTTGCTTTGGAAGGAGAAAAGCAAACTGGTTGTGATGCAACAGATGTTTTCCTTTTACTTCTTCGTGATGTATGCTGTGTTGTAGAGGATGCAACACTTTCAGACAATAAGGTCCTTTCTTTTTGAGGAGAGCGACCCTTCTCTCCAAGCGCAGATTTTTCTTGAAGAGGTAAAGAATCATCTTTCTCAAGTAAAAAATGAATTTTTCTCCCTTTTTCCTGCTTTACTGCATTTTCTTTTACGTCTGCATTATTTTCTAGAGGTTTTATATAGGATCTAGATACTATACATTTTTTACGTCCAGTTTTATACTCCTCATCAGCTGCATTTAATGTTCCAGGTTTTGTTTGTACTGGAATATTCTTTCCTCTTCTACTTCTTTTTAGGCCATTTCCGATATTTTCTATCCTTGAATTTTCAAAACCTTCATTTTGCATTTTTTCTTGTGTATTTACTTCTACAGACTCAGATTTTAAATCATTTTTATAATCTTCCTTATTTCTTGAGCTCAATGATGTTTTTGCATCTAAGAGACATCCATTTTCTTCTGGTTTTACATCTTCTTTGAAATCCACTGTTGTTTCTTCTTCTTTCAATTTAGCTGTCACCCTTCTTCTTAGATATGGTTGCATTTTGACTGAAGCTTCCTTTGATGGTCTCAGTAATTCTGGAGCATGACTGATGTTATCAGAAATCACAGACTCAACTGTTTCAGTGAAATGTTTTCTAGATTCTCCTCTTGAAGATCTTGTCATAGTTTCAAGTGTTGATATGCTGGTTTCAGATTCTTGCACTAGACTTAAGTCAGCAGTGTTCTGACACGAAGTACTTTTTTCTACAGCACTGGCTGATTTTGTCCTACATGAATTCCTTGTATATCTCTGTATCTTCCTTGTTTGTTCTTTTAGGGAACTGGATTCATTAACTTTCCCTCTCCTAGTTCTTCTACCTGAAGCCAACACTTCAACCACTTCTTTATCTATTGGACCCAGATCAGCAGTTGCCTCTTTCATAAAATTGTTTGCGCCTCCGTTTTGGGAATTAATCCCTTCTGCATGATAGCTCTGTGTTTGTTTCACTTTGTTTGTTTCACACTTTGAGTCCATAGTTTCTCTATCTGTCTCTGTTTTCAATTCATTAAATGAATTAGAAATAACATGTCCTGTGGTGTCTTCTAATTTTACATCATGTTTAGGATCATTTCTTTGTATGGACTCTAAAACAAAACACATGCAAGTTCATTTTCAAAATGTGGATTGTGGAAAAAACAAATAAAACTTATTATCCAAAGGTTTAGGAGGATGTTCTGAGTAGCTTCATAATTTTGCACTGGGGAAATACTTACACTGTATCCTACAAAATTAATTAATTTGTACCTATCACAATGGGCTACAACTGGTACCAAATGCAACACATTTCATTTTACAGCTTCCCAAACCTTCATATTTCACAACCATATCCTAACTCCAAATATTCAAATTTGTGTTCTGTTATTTACTAAAAAAAATTGAAACTCATCTTTCCCCTTGGATACCAAGGCAATATACAACAGTTGTGACAAACTAAAATTACCTATACAAATAAAATGAAGCCACTGTCTCTTTATGTCCTCCTTTTATAGTGCCACACAAATAAAGCTAGTGAGATTTTCAGCAAATTTCGAGTACCTTTCAAGTGCCGAGACTTAAAATATAGGTTTTGTAGCATTAACAAAAATCTCTTTGGATGATCCCCCATTGTTCTGTTCCGAACAGGTAGATGAATGAATTTGGAAGGTCTCTGAGGTGTTCTAGCTTAAAATGTAGACACTATGGTGTACATGAAAAACACTCTGGAGGCCCCCAGGACACCCCCATTTAAATTTGCCTACAGAGGCACATGGCACATATTAAAGATTTTAATAGGGTCAGTTTAGAAATGCACATGTTTTGAGTTGTGCCTTGATATTATCGATTGGGACTCCAAATTATCATTGATCAACAACCATGCTCACTGGGGGATTCTAGGAGTTGCATACTTTGGATAAACTTAATGAGACTTAGTACCATCAGTGAAAAAACATGTACACATGAAAGAAGGTGCAAGGTGCACAGAGAAGAAGGAAGTCACTAGGTACAGGGTGGGATTCATTGAATTTTAATATGGGCAAAGCCAGATAGATTCATTGGCTGGTACACAAACTAAACAATAAACAATCTCTAGTTGGGTATAATCCAGCTAAACACTTTTAGACTGAGATAATTAACTACTTCTACATTTATGTTTAGACTGTACCCAGATTGTCTTTGTAGATACTGTTGTTTGTGCCTGTTGTATGCTATGAAGTCAATTTTGACATGGTGACCCTACTAGAATTTCCAAATTATGTGAAATATTTAAGGAGTCAGTTTAGCACAACCACCCACCAATGAGTTTCCACATCTGAGTTGAGATTTGAACCCAGGTTTCCTGAGCCATATTCTAGCACTCTACCCATCATTCTTCACTGGCTCTCTATTGTTATTTCAAGTGTGCTATTATTTTATTTGTTATTCAAAGCAAAGGATGCTGTAGCGCCTAGATCAGGCAACAGATTCTTATAGCCCTATGGTTTTGCATCTTCAAATTTAATTTGCGGAGGCTCCAAAGACCTTTGGGTAGAGTGGGCGGCATATAAATTAAATAAATAAATAAATGACAAGCTTTTCACTATTACTCATATAGACTCCTATACAAACTGGGATCCTACATGTGCTGCAAATGTCAGTCAGGTACAGCAGTACAAGCACATTCTTCTGTTTAAATCATGAACAGGCTCCCCTGTGCTTTAGGCCAGATACACCTGAGGAATGATAGGGCTGTAAGGTTTCTCTGCTCATATCATGTTCCTGGGTTTGAAAACCATCAGTGGAAACCTTTCTCTTTGTCCTGCCACCCTCACAGGTGCATTTGGTAAGACCCTGAGGGACTTCTTTGATGTTGCTCCCTCACTGTGGAAAAACCTCCTCCCTCCATGGGTGGTCAGACTGGACTCTTCCTTACCATCCTGCTGCAGGCAGATGAAGACTTTTCTCCTCAGGTAGGCTTTTTCTTAAACTGGTAGGCTTTTTCTTAAACTGGCTGCCTAAGAGTTGGGCTGCTGCTGTTGGTGTTCCCCCCACACTGTTTTTATATTATTTTTAATATTGCAAGTTACCTTGAGTCCTCTAGAGCAATGGCCCCCAACCTTTTTAACTCCACAGGCCACAATCACACGCACTTACTCATGTGCAAAGGGTGCATTTGTGAAGGGGGGCACTAGCGTGCATACGTGCAGGGGCTGTGAGGGGGGTCGGAGTGCATGCAGGGGGGTGGGAGATCTGTCTCCATAGCCTGGTCCAGCCCAAGCCACGGACTGGCATGGGGCTGCGGACCAGGGGTTGGGGTCCCTGCTCTAGAGAAAGGTGGGTGCAATATTTTAAATAAATAAATGATAGATACACATATGCTAGTGGGTCTTTCAGCTTATTGAAGGAGTACCAATAATTCAGTGTTACCTACTGCACACAACTGAATTCTTGTACTTTTTTAATAAATGTGATATTAAGAAGTCCATACTTTCTAGGTACTGCCATTTACAATTTTAGTACTTATTATTGTTTGGGAAACATATTGTACATTTAGGATTTTAGTGAAATAATACTGATACATACCATTTCCAGTTTTGGAATTTATGTAGGAACCATTCTCTTCGTCAATGAGATTCACAAATTCCAGCAATTCGCCCTGGATGTATTGCAAAGAGTAGCTGACATAAGAATACTTCTGGTACATACTATTCAAGGTATATATCATGTTTCCCTGAAAATAAGCCCTAGTATGTTTTTTCAGGATGCTCATAATATAAACTCTACCCCCAAAATAAGCCCTAGTTAAGTGAAAGCCCGTCCTCCACCACTGTGCAGCAACCAGAAGATGACATGACTGTATTTGAATAAAAGTAGATTGTTGTACATGAAAAAAAAATCCCCTAAAAATAAGCTCTACTGCTTTTTTTGGAGCAAAAATTAATATATGACCATGTCTTTTTTTCAGGGAAACATGGTAATAATATTGTAGACTAGAATATTGTTTTGTATAAAGTCCCAGACTGCACTGTTACGGTGAACTGAAACATTTCAAAAATATGAATGCTTCATTCCAAAAATAGTTACTTTAGTTATTTCAGAAATATGTAGTGGCAGTCCTAATCTAGGTTCCAATCTGCCAGTTGTCTATCCAGATAGTTGATTAACTATCCAACAAGACCACCCCATAGTAATTAATGAGCCAAATATGACGTGTGCACGAAGATTATAGTGGCTGAAATTCTACTGCTTAGCATATTAAATTGCAATTAGAATAGGCCCAATAATCAGTGGGTCAATTGGTCTACTCTTGACTTACTAAGATAAGCAACAATATTTCAGTCAATAGAGATGAAAAATAGCAATATCCCTATAACAAAGCCACAAGTGCATCTATGCTTTGTTTGCACCATACAATTATTGTACAGTGGTATCTACCTAAGGAATGGAATAGGTAAAAAAAATAAAAACATATGGGTGGAAGGTAGTTATCACAACCCCCACCCAAATTAAAATTCTTTATTTTACAAGTAAAAGGGGAATTTATAGAGCTATGACTATATCTTTAAATATACAAATATAAATATACTTTAGTTATCTCAAGATTAGGTATTAGTGATCAATTACAATAGGTCCCATTTTCTTATCAGAAAAAAAGAGAGAGACACCACTTCACTTATGTTCCTCTCCAACATTTTTAAATGATAGGGATTTAAATACAGTATAATTCCCATTCAGGCAGGTCTCACTCCAAGCCTCAGGAAAAACTGTACAATAATGTATTATGGACTGGAGAAAATTATAAGCTACAGAAACAGAATCTCTCAAAATCTTTCTGAGATGATGATTAAGGCTCGTGCAAAAAGTTTGGCAGAACAAGACTTACAGCAGCCCATTCAGACCTGTGAAAATGTTAGACGGTCAGTAGACATTTCTGAATTCTGGAAGGAGAATTTAAAAAATCTTTAATACAGATTACATACCTTTTGTTCATCTGTAGTTTCCAACATTTCTTTGATACCCGAATAATCCATTTCAGGACTTAAACAGTTCTGTTTAGGTTCTGCCATAAGCTTCTGCAATCCCAAGTAGTCATCAACTGGCAAAAACTTCTGCCTTGGTGTTTTTAATAGCCGACTGATGCCAACTAGATCTTCCACAGGTTTGTTTTTTTGTTTTGGTGTTCTGAACAACCGTTGAATTCCTTCAAAGTCTTCCATGGGGTTTACTCTTTTCTCCGGCTTGTCAATACCATCATCTATGTTAGCCTGTATTCTTTGTTTCTCTTGTCTGTTGATATCACTTCCTATCAGTTCCTCTGACATTTCTTCTGGAGACTTCATCAACTTGGCGCAGACAATGTCATCTGCAACAGGATCCAGGTTTTGCATGGGTGTTCTCAAAAGCTTCTTGATGCCTGAAAGCATCTCCACAGGCTCTGTTTTTTGCTTGGGTGTTCTTAAGAGCCTCTTAACCCCTGAGAGTGCCTCCACAGCCTCTGGTTTTTGCTTGGGTGTTCTCAACAGCCTCTTGACTCCCGACAGCGCCTCCACAGCCTCTGGTTTTTGCTTGGGTGTTCTCAACAGCCTCTTGACTCCCGACAGCGCCTCCACAGCCTCTGGTTTTTGCTTGGGTGTTCTCAACAGCCTCTTGACTCCCGACAATGCCTCCACAGCCTCTGTTTTTTGCTTGGGTGTTCTGAGGAACCTCTTAACACCTGAAAATGCCTCAACAGGTTCTGTTTTTTGCTTGGGTGTTTCCAGGGATCTCTTGGTCCCTGAAAGCAACTTAACTGTTTCTGATTTTTGTTCTTGACTTTTATCTTGCATTTCAGTACCAACTGTATGATTTACTGCTACTACGAAGCTATCCTTCCCCACAGTTTCTCTGAAGGCACCATCTGCTCCTCTGAGAGTCATCTGAAGGTCATTGTGGTCAAGAGTGGAAATCTGAGGCTCTTCTTTAAAGAAAGAGGATACCATATCTTCTTTGTCGTGTCTTTGTTGATTTGATACATTGCAAGATGGTGCAGGCCCCTCTTCTATTAAATATATTAAAAGTAAAAGATTGTTAAATACATATTACAGACACAAAGTTTTTTTTTTAAATTAACTATTGTTCTCTGTAATTGATGTGGAAAACATCCATCAACAAAATGCTACCATCTAAAATAAACAACATTCTTCAATCAGGAGACACTATAGGGTGAGGTGGAATCTCCTCTACAATTTGGTCACATGTCTCCTACCTTCTCTTTGCAGTACATTTCTGTGGCTAGGTGCTTGATCCCTGGCTCCAGGGGCTGGATCCTTGGCTTTGAGAAAGGGCCCAATTTGAAGTCATAGAGAACTTCATGGAGGTGGACATGGGGTGGTCAAACTCTGGAGCCAGCTATCTGCCCGAAAAGCCATTCCCACCACTTTTTATTTCCACTGCATTCTCAGGCAATTATCCTCCACAGAATTTGTCAACTTACAGCTCGGCAGCAAGATATACTGCATTCCTGATATATGGTCCATGATCATAGTCAAATATTTCTGGTGGCCACCCCCTAAAAACAATGAATCTTTATCCAAAGTGAATCAAATCAAAATAAACAAGGCTGGAAATTTTTTTCTCTTAATCCATACTTCATGGCCTTCACCTGACATTGGTGCTGATTGTCAGCCCACACATAGCACAGAACTGGTAAATGAGATTCCAGAGTCTGTTACTGAATCATCTAAAAAGCACAATGACATTTCTATGCCTTTAATAAATGCTAATTATCTGTTGATTGTTTCAAAGGGTTGTATGCAATCAGGACAGAGGTTCTTTGGGAGATCACATATCCATTCATCGGACACTTGGCAGTATGGGTGGAATCATCCTACCCTCGCGGCATCCCTAACGCCATCTGTAATCTAGGGAGTGGCTTATATGATTATGAGTAATGGTTAGATTTTACGTGTTTTTATCTCTTATAGTGCATTTTGTGTGATTTCTTAAAATTAAAGAAAATCTAATTAGAACACAAGTGGAACACATAAGAACAGACAGACTGACAGAGTGAGCAACATCCCAATTGTTTTCCTGTCATGCTAAGAATCCTTTTCTAACTTGAACTGCAACCCCTAGAGACTTTCTGCAGAATAGTTTTAAGTGGCAAAGAACACAAGAAGCCACATTAAATTTTTGAACCAAAAATTGTGTAAAAATATACAAATTAGTGGATTTGAGGAAGAGGGGCTTTGCAAGTACCGTTTTTTAAATTTAAATTAATTGTAGCATAATCTGGTTTCAGGCAAATCAAATTACTTAACAATTAATACCAAGAATGCATACCAGCTTCTGCTTCAGCATTAATTTCTGAGATGGCCTCTTGTGTTGGCAGCTTCATTTTTTCACTACAAAACAGAGACTCTTCTTGCTCCCTGCTTGGTGGAGTACTGAACATCTCAGCCATCCCTGCAAAACATTTAGTATTTTGCTAATGCTCACTGTGTATACTTTTGTATGCAGTTCAGAAAATGAGGAAACATAACTATTAAAAATTCACTCTCTCTTTGTTTTGACTGCTCCAATCCCCCTTGAAACATTATAGAAATATTTCAAGCATGTAAGGTTCATGTTAGTTTATAGCCATAAAACCTAATGCAACATGCTATAGGGCTGCAAAAGCAATAAAATATCTTGATAAAGATATATGAAATCCTAGTCATTATTAATTTGTTAAATGTTATAGATGACTGCACAAGGAGAACAAAAAGAAATACACTACACCTGTAGCACAATAAATTCAGTTATCTACTCGATACAGGCAAAGATTCACCCTTACACCAATACTCTTGCTTATGAAAAACTAATCTGCTTTGATTCCTGATCCTCTAGTGAGAAAAAACAAAAGTGCTTTTTTGGGGTGATAGTTGGACTTTTGAAAAAAGGAACTGTCTACAAAAGAACAAAAGGGGGGGACCTGCTCCCTTTGTTTCTTTCAGAAGAGTTTTGATTCCCCTTTCCTGGTGAGTTTTTATAGGCAGCAAGATGTTGCTGCTGCTTCCAAAAGCAGTGGGCAAAATTTTGTTATGTCTGCATAAGTGTGCTGGGTGTTACACCCAGCAGCAAAAAATAGGCCAATTTGATCCCTCAATAGGTCATATGTTCTTTGTGTGAACAATTGTTCATTGTACTGATGGAAGTGCTGTATGGATGATAGTCCCATGTTGGTGTTCTAGTGACTACCATGAGCACAATGTTGAGTTACGCCCTTGTAATTACACAGCATGATTTTGTCCAATGAGTGGGAGAAACCATCACCATCACTACTTCCCTAAAAATGAGGAAAGGAAAGGAGGGGTTACACCTGCTTCTTGCCAGGAAAGAATGAAGGTAAGTCTGTCAATTTCTGAAAAAAAATGACTATTAGTGATTAAAATAAAACCACTTCCTTATAGATAAGAAAAAGGAAGAAGACTTTCATTCTGCAAGTCATGTTTTAGCAAGTACCATCAATGTTCTTGCTACTACTACCTCCTGCAAAATCCCAAGAGGATACAATGCCTTCTTTTCATAGGAAGAGAGGGGTAAGCTTTCCCTCCTTTTCTATTGGCTTTTGGGGGAAGGCAGCAACAACCTGAAAAGCTTTTTACATCTTTTGAAAAAGACAAGCTTAAGGGTAAATTCTGAAGTATATTGCAATTTTTTTCAAAAAAAACACACCACACACATACACACACAGAAAGAGAGAGAGAGAGAGCAAAAAAAAACCTCATAGAATTCTGGAATAAGGTACACATATGTAAGTTTACCACCTATGAATTAATATGCTTTTATTAGGAAACAAAGAAGCTCTTAGCACTGCTGACAGAGACGTTTCTCAAACAACTTTATTTTTCCACCGTGACTGCTAACTGGTGGTGGAGGAGGAAGGGAAACGTACATAGGGACAATTAATCCCATCTAGATACTGCCCTTGTATGACTTAGAGTGTAATACTGAATGCAGTGAAGTGTGGACCTATGCCGAAACAAAAGCATCTTATTTCCCACAGCACACAAATGAACACTATGAGCATCATTTGCAAGACTGAACAATGAGCGCACAGGACAATATATTTCCTTTATTTATGTGGGAACAGAAGGAATAATTGCCTCTCTCACTGGCAAGGCCTGAATAAGAGATAACCAAGCAAGGCTCTTCCCCATTAGCTTCACTGGGACTAACAGCCATTTCACCTCTTCTCTTCCAAAGCTGTCTCCTCAAATAGCCAGTCTCATCTATGTGCTAGTATTAGATTCTTTCCGCCCTCCCTCCAATGCTTTTCCTTTATATTACACAAATTATATGCAGTTATGCAAAACTATAAAGCAAAATTTTTAACTATTGCATTGTGAAGTTGAAAATGTGAAGTTGACACCGGATAAGAAGGCACATTCAATGCCCTATCAGTACTGTACTGCACTACGTATTGAGTTCAGAGAGGCATAGGTAACCTTTAATTTTCTACCCCTTAAAATATCTTGACAGTAGCCCATAACAGTCTTGGACTAAGGATATATTTTCAAGACCAAGTCAAATGCAATTTTAGTAGCTCCAAAGATATAACTTGGAGTTATCACGGTCTTGCATGCTTCCTCTTTCAGTATGAATGCCAAAACCAGAATTACAAAAATAAGCAAATATATGCAAATCTGCCTAACTTAAATAATCCAAAATCAGCTATTTTAACTGGCAATACTTATTGAGTTTATTAAACTAGGATGTTGTTAAAAAGGAAATTGTGAATTTGTTTCACAGAATGAGTTAGGCAAGTGAGGGGAAAAATTCACTGTGTGGTTCCAGAATAAACCTCACTATAATTTAGCGTAACATTTGATAAACTTTAACTAATATAAGGGTGACCATCTGGCTGCCTGATATTTAGTCACAGACAATTACGTCAGAACAAAACATGATTGTATTAAATTCATTTATTTATTCCATTTATACCCCGCCTATCTGGTCATTGCGACCACTCTTCCTACACTTCATGTAGGAAGTTACCTATATTTACACACAAAACAGTCCTTACACACATTGTAAACAATCTTCTCACTGATTAAAACTTCACCCATCTGTGCATCTAGTTCTGAAGTAAGCACAATGGCTTAGATTCAAAGAAAAATGTCTACCACAAAAGAATTGTTTTGATCTAGTGGTCAAATGCAGCATAAGCAGAGTGACTATCAACATGCTGTATCTTCAACTGTTTAGCAAAATAACTTGCCTGTAAAACTCTCATTTAAGTCAAAATGTTGCTTCAAAGGATAGTTGTACATCACTTTAGGGACTTGTGCAGCTAAATTCACAGTGCTGATGTGAGCTTTTCCGACCACAATCGGAGCAGGAGAGTTAGCATGACCTGTAGTAAAGTGACCTGTGAATTTTCTTACTGGAGTTTTTAATACGGAAGCATTGTTCTGAAAAACAGAAAACACAAAAAGCATTGCAGCATGATCAAGAAAGAACTGCTAGATAGGCTCAGTGGTTTAGGCATTTGGCTGCAGAGCCAGAGATTGAGAGTCTGATTCCCAATTGTGCTTCCATGGTAGGAGCTGGACTTAAAGATCCATTGGGTCCTTTCCAGCTCTGCAGTTCTAAGATCATCATCAAAAGTTTCATTGGCTTCTGATGTGCATACACAATTCTGACTTTGGTTTACTTTTAATCATGTCAATTCCTTCACGTTTACTAAAACTAAATGAAAATCACATTTTCAGTATATGGCTATCCTTGGGTATTGTTTCTAGTGAAGAGGTATTAGTAGGCTAAATGTCCTTACTAACAGCTTTGAACCACGCTACAGTCTTGACAGTAGCCCATAACACTCTTGGACTGATAGGGTACCAGGACTACTGGCTTCCTTTTCCACATAACTGTTTCCTTTTTAATAAGTGGGCACTGCTGTATCTACAAACACTCCAGAACCTGGACAACATTTTAATAAGTCTCCTTAGTTTTTTCCTCTCACAATGTAGAGAACTCCTAATACATTGATTGTAAAACACAGTGGTTGCAAAAGTGAGCAGGCAAGGCAGCCAGGGACCCTCAGACTGGGGGCAAGCCAGGATTTTGGATGAAAGTAGTATTCTGCCATCACTGGTAAGTAGTTTATGAACTGTTATCCACAAATGGCTACTTAAATACTGTATTATGGTTGAGATCCTCCTAGATGAATGGTGTGAAGAGACCCAGAGGCATGTAGCATCATTGCTTGCTACTGAGCATTGATTACAACTGGTGACTCCAGAATTTCTTGTCTTTATGAGCAATGAAAATGTCGAAGTACTCACATTATATTCTCTTTTATGCATAGCTCAAACAAATGCAATCCTGTTTTTACTATAATTCAGGAAATCGCTTTGTCCGGCAGCATTACAAGTTTTCAAGTCCAAAATTATTCCACAAGCCATTTATTGTTTCCCAATTTGGGCAAGTGCTTTGGATCAATAGATCGAATCTGCACGACAAGGTTTTGCAATCACCATTGCACTTCGCAAAACAGTGTTTCCTATGGGCGTTTTTCGCTGGATGATGTTTCGGTCCGTACTTCGCAAGAGTTTTTTTTTTCCGGGACCGATGCTTCGCAAGACGATTTTTACAGCTGATCAGCAGCTCCGTAAAATGGCTTCCCTATGGGCAATCTTCGCAAAACGGGTGTTTTCGGGACTGATGCTTCACAAGACAGCAGTTTAAACAGCTGATCAGCGCTTCGCAAAATGGCTTCCGTATGGGCGATTTTCGCAAAACGACTATTTTCCCCATTGGAACACATTGAATGGATTTCAATGCATTCCAATGGGGAAACGCTTTTCGCAAGACAATGTTTTTGCTAAACAGCGATTTCAATGGAATGGATTAACATCGTCTTGCGGGGCACCACTGTACTCTGTCAGCGAGTACCTTGGAGCTCTTAAATAAAGAGCTAGAATTACTAAAAGAATAATTTTGGATATTGAATTGAGTACTGCCAATAAATTCTATTCACCATTTTTTCCATATTCCTCCTAAAATGGGTAAACCTGCTGCCTACCTTTCCTTGCTCAAAAGCACCCCAAAACATAAGGCCTTTTCTTTGGCCAGATGCAATGTCATGCCTACTGCTATATTATATGGCATATTTAATGCAGTTCCCTATTTTGACAAGCACTGCCCATGTGAACGGGGGGATGCTGGAAACCCTTCTTCATGTTTTTGCACTGCCCACTTCACTTGATTGGCCAATCAAGGTTAATAGCCCCAATTACCTATAAGGTTATCCAATTGTTGTTTTTAATATCCATATTAGAAACAATGCTGGTAGGGCATGACTGGTTTAAGATCAATAGTTCCATGCTGAGACTTCTTGCTTCATGGCTCATATTCTTGCCACACAAGCAGCATATATTCCAGATAGGATAATTGTAAATATAGTAAGCTGAATATAGAAAAAAGTGTATATTCATAAATTGAAAATATTTAAGACAAAGTAGAAAGATTTAACTTTTCGGAAGAGGTGGAAGTGTTGTTTGCGGCTCTATCTCCTTGGCTACTGTGGATGCCATGAGACTTCTATTCAGCTTATTCTCTCCTTAGAAGGTGAAGGGTGCAAGGGCTTACTCATTTCCAGGATAGGTACTGTTTTTTTTTCTGAAGCATTTTTCCCACATATTTCAGCCATGTTTAAAACTTCTGAGCAGTAGGCATGGCTAGTTTTAGAAGGCAGAAGATCTCAAAGTAAATTATTGATATGATATTCCTTTCTAAAGAAACTGCCTCAACCCAGCTGAACTTATTTGCCTAAACTAACACTGACTGGCAAAAGTTTCACAAGATCAAGATGACACTGAAAATTGGGAGAATTTGAGTATGGGACATCATGAATCTAGAGCCACATGGCACATGCCCTCTGTACTACCAGTTACAACATACCACAGAATCTAGTCTCTTGGCACTTAAAAAATAGGCTGTTTTCTGGGCTTCATTCAATGGCCAAAAGCTCTGGTCAAAATTCAAGATATACCTTTGATTGTTTTGTAGATTTCTTTGCTGAACTCTTTTTAGGTCCACATTTAGTTGCAGTAGTCCTCAAATGTGATTTTGGAACACCTTGTTTTACAATATCTGCCCAAGACTTTGCAACTGGAATGAAAATTGTCCAGGATTATAAGGAATAATTATTTTCATACTTAAAATATTTACGCAATGCAATCACCAGATTTACCGAATATGTAGTACTATTTTTCTTAGTTATCAAACTATGTATCAAATGTTATATATACATAGTTACAAAATAAACTTTTATGAAACTAGTTATGGCATTCTGTTGTTTACTGAAAATATAGAATAAAAGCAACTGTAACAAACCTATTAAGTTGGCTTCAGAAGCACCACTTCGTCTTTTAGATTGAATTGCATCCACAGCACCACTTCTCCTATGCAAGGATTTTTTCCGTACAGCAAAGGTTTTGCTTCTCCTTACTGACCCAGAAACTTTAGATTCTTGTTCACTAGGTCCACCTGTCTTCAGTTCAATGATCTCTTTATTTACATCCACCTGTTTGACAACAGAACTCTGTTCTTTTGGGGATGTGCAGGCAACGTGAGAAACAGAGAACCTGCCTTTTCTTTGGGGTGTGTTACAAGAGAAACAGGCTCGGGGCGAGGTGGCTGGGGACCTGCGGGAGGCCGGGGGCGAGGCAGCTGGGGACAAGGTGGCTGGGGACCTGCGGGCAGCCTGGGATGAAGTGGCCGGGGGGGAAGCGGCC